CAGAGTTCCTTTTGATCCTTCCTGGCTCTGGGATGCTGTCCATGGTAGGCAGGATGGAACCTTCCTGATCCCTGGCCCTGTGTTTGTTTTGGCTGTCGTGCTGGCTGATGTTCACAGTCCCAAGTCCCTCAATGCAGACTTTGATCTTCACATGCATGTTTGCCACTGTGCTTCCTGAGCACTTGTTTGCTCGGACTAGCAACTCATTCCTTGCGTATTCTAGCCAGATTGAGAGATGGTAAATTGCAAAGACAGCGAGGCTTTACATGGTGTTATATGTAGCTCTAGTTTATTCATTTGTGTTTCTGTTTGGAACTCTATAATGTGTGAACAGTCCACAATCTGTCCATTCTACCGCTGATCAGACATGTTGGTTAGCTTATTGTCCACTGCGAACAATGCTGCTGAAGCTGCTCTCGTACTTGTCTCCTTAGAGAAGAGTACGCAGATGCGTGCCAAGATGCGAAGAATTGTAAATTTGACTATTGTGTCCACCACTTAGGCCAAGAAGTAAGCTATTGCCTCTCCTTAGAAGACTTGCACATACCAATTTTCCATCACAGTCTGTCACTGTCCTCTGCTCCACCCAATTATAATAATTTTTCCAACAGTCTTTGTGTTTCTTTATAATTTTACATTAAAAGTGAGCATATTTTTATTAGCTCTACAGTCCAAGTGGAAAGCATTCTGTGCTTGCCTTGTCCCCCCGCTCCAGTCCTTGCAGCCTCCCCTTTGCCCAGACCTCACCCAGAGGAGAGCACATCTTGCCTTGGTCCCACGGGCTGTTCCCTTCCTCTGCTCTACCCTACCAGTATTACAGAAATTAGCGTTCTGAAATATTTCTCTGCTGATAAGCTTTTTATGGCTGCCTTCCCTACATTCATGTGTCCTTAGCGCAGCTGTGGAGCCTTATTTCCAGATAGTAAATGTTCTGGTTATCTATTGCTGTGTGATAAACCCCGTGAGCTTAATGGCCCAAGGCAAGAACCATCATGACTCACAGCAGGGCCTTTCCCACTCCTACGCCTGTGGCTGGTGCCGTTGTCTGCCGGGAAGCCTAGCCGTGCCCTCTCTGTGTGGCCCAGACTTCTTCACGGCAGAGCAGCAGGCTTCCGTGGTGACCTTCCAAGATGTGATGTGAGGTGGAAGCTGAGGCTGACCTTTGCTAACCCAGCTCTGAGAGTTGTGTGGTATCACTGAGGGACATCTGTGTTGTTTCCCATTTCTGGCAATTATGAATATAGCTTTTATAAATATGAACATTTAAATTTGTATCTAAACATAACTTTTTTGCTGTTGAGTGATGATCTAGGGGTGGAGTGACTGGGTCACATAGCTCGTGCATGGGAACCTTAGTGGCGAACTGCTTTCTGGAGTGTGGTGAGTGTGCCATTTGTTTTTTTCATCAGCAACACTGAACATTTGCCCTCTGTCTTTGTTAGCAGTTGCTGGCTTGGCGTTTTTAACCTGTTGGTTTTTTAATTGCATCCATTCAATAGGTGTGTAGTGACATTTTATTTTGGCTTTAAATCATATTTTCCCAGTGGCTAATTAAGCACCTTTTCATATGTTAATTTGTTTTGTATACATCTTCCATGGTTCCCCCAAAATAAGACCTAACTGGAAAACGATCAGCTTTGAAAACTAGAGATCAAAACTGCCAGCTCCGATCGCCCTGTCCTTACCATACCCACCTTACAAAGTAGCCAGTGAGCAAGAGAACATTGATGGCAGTAAGGAAGGTCAGGCTGCTTGGGGCTGGCAGTTTTGATCTCTAGTTTTCCAAAGCTGATTATTTCTAGTTAGCTCTTGTTTTCAGGGGGACAGAGTTATTTGGTGAAGTACCTGTTTGATCTTCTGCCCATTAAAAACATTAGGGTTTTTTTTTTTTTTTTTTCCTGCCGAGTGTTGAGGGCTGTCTGTACGTTTGGATACAAATCCTTTGTCAGAAATATTATTTATAAATAGTTTCTCTCAGCGTTTGTCTTACTGTCTATTACCAGCCGCTTTTTCAGAGCAAAAGTTTTTGATTTTGCTGTAGTCCGACTTAATCTGGTTTTTTTCACTGTGGCTATGCTTTGGTATCCCATCTAAACTGTTACACTAAGTCATACCTTGCTCTGCTACCAGTTTCTTCTGCCTAGAATGTGTGTCTCATCTCCCTCCCTCCATCCCTCCGCTGCGGCCCCAGGGCCTTGCTGTAAGAGGCCTTCCTTGCCTTCGTGTTTCATTTCAAACAGCACCCATTCTCTGCACCCGCAGCGCCTTGTGTTCCCCTGCTCCATAGGGCTCCTTGGTTGCTTTTCCCTCCTGAATCTCCTGCTAGGCTGTGCCAGGCCATCAGTGCCACAGGCAGGGATGTGCTCTGCGTCTGTTATGGCATCAAGCCCAGTGATTCCTGCATATCATCCAGCACTTGTTGAATCTATGAATGGAAGGACCTGCTGGGCACCTTCAGGCTCTTGTGGCTTCCTAGGTGCTGTCCTTAATCACTTGGAATAGTCCCCATCTTCCTGCCTGGCTGGCCCCAGCCTTTCTGACAAACCCTGTAATCCCTTCCCTCTTTGCCCCAGGCTGTGTCCTGAGGGTACCTTCAACACAGTCCTGCCCGCTCACCAGGTCTCCTAGAGCACGGAAAACAGAACTACTCTGATCACTTTTTTTTTTAATCATCAGAGTTTAATACCCCAACCTAGTGCTTAGTAAGCACTGTTTACATGTTGACTGAATGAATTAATAAGATGTGTGACCCCTTTCTCTTTTTTAACACTCAAAACCTAGGCACTGACCTGATTTATAAAAACGTGATAGGCAAACCATGCCAGTGCACTGAAAGTCTCCAGCATTTCCTGGGCAGCTTTTTTCTATAGCAAAGTTTTATTTATACCCTAAATAGAACATTTAATTTATAACCTTGTTACATTATGAATCATGGAAAAATTCAAAAAAATCACACGAGTGTTATTAGAAAAAAGTGTAATATTACCGCTAATGTTTAACACTTAGGGAAACTGACCTTGTAACATTTCCTTCTCCTCTGATAAAAGACATGGTCAGTATTTGTGAGCATTTATATGTAGTTTTTATTAATTACAACCACTAGCCACAACACACAAATGTACACTTAGGATATTGTGTATTTTTAAAATTTATTCTGCCATAAGCATTTCAGGTGTTGCTAAGAATTGGTTCTACCTTTTATTGCACCAAGATACTTCTTTTAAGGCTTTGGCAGGTGGTCTGTAGAGGCGATGCTCTTACCTGCTGCATTCATTCAAGCTTGATTGTATTAATGACGGGCACGATTTCATCCGTGACAAGAGACAGTTGTACTTTAGATCAGACCAGCTGACAGAGCAGCTTGCACCCTGATGAGGTTCTGAAGTTCGGTTGCTCCGAGACTCTAAATCTACAAGGAGACAAGGAAAGGTTGCTTTGCTGTCAGTCTGCATGTTCGGGGGACTTGTGAGTGGTGTGGGTAGGGCCTCTGTCATAATGTAGAACTCACAGCTGTGAAGCTGCACCCTGTCATTGGGCCACAGGGAGAGATGCACAGACTTGCCCTGGGCCAGTGAAAGGGCACAGAGAGCAGAGATCATAAAGCAGCTGTGCAAAGAGTTGTGTTCTTCTTTTAAATCTAAAGCTTTTTAAAAATCTTGTGTGCTGATAATAAAGAGACACATAAGCAGGCACCCTGGCGTGTAGGGACGTGTACCCATAACTACCCATTCCTTCTGTGCTAAAGCTTCTGTCTCCCCTTTCCAAAGGGTGTCTGAGGAAAGCACACTCGGATCATCAGGGTCTGGCCAGGACCAACCTACTGATCCTTGGCCTAGTCTCACTTCACCTGTGAAGGGTTAAATAGCAATGCCTCCAGGGCTGTTTTGAGATTTAAATGTGATTCTATAGGAGTAAAGTACAGGGTCCTAGTAGCCTGCAATTGTAAGATAATATTGGTGCTCAGCTTCCTTTCCGCCTCTGGCTCTCGTTTCTGTTTCAGTGACAATTTGAGTATCTGCTGTATACCACGCACAGGGGACAAATGCAATACAGCTTCACTGAAGCGAAGAGCTGAAGAGAGGTTTGGTTTGCAGAGAGTTTGCAGTGTGAGGTGGTGGGATGAGTGCTTAAGCAGCAAAGCATAGTGTGAGGCAGAGGGAACTAAATGCTACGTAGAGATGCCAGTGTGGGCTGGGGTGGCCAAGGCGGCTATAAAGCAAAGGCTATGAGACACAGGCATTGAAGGACGTATAGATTTTCAACTGAGCAGAGGAGTTCAGAGCAATCCTGATGGTGAAATTGCACAGCTTGTTGCATGAGTCACACATTCTGTGCTTTCTCTCTGGAGGGGGGGATATGTTGTGGGGGCTGTGGCTGGAAGATGGGGTGGAGGCCGATTTCTCAGGCATACAGCTTTGCCCTGTGGCTTAGGAACTCCTAGGAAGTATCACACAAAATTATACCTGGGCCATGTCTTTGGTGTGATCACCGTTAAGAATTATACAAACTACCAAATGGTCACGGGACGCTTGCTGAGCACTGCCAATCCGTCTGATGCCGCTTCCTGTCACGAGAGGCACTGTGCTTACCTGCAGTATGAACTGTTCCTCCCAGAGAAAAGACAAGGTTCTTGATGGTTAAAGAATTTATGAGGGAGTGTTCTAAAGCAATAACTCAGAATTAGACATATGAGTTGTCTCAGGACAAGGAAGTTCTCAGAATTAATGATGCTGTCAATCCCTTTTCCTTTGGAAGTAGAAATCAGAGTCCCTAGGGGTAATTTACTTCAATTTTGAGTAATTCTGCTTCTATCATACTGAAAATTTGTCACAGAATTTAATTATTGTCTGGTGGTCAAAATAATTTGTTTTAAATTGAATGTTGTGTTTGTGAATAATATGAATTTTCAGCTAAAGCTGGGTGTCATGGGTTCAGGATACAGTGATAGTGTGACTATTGTGAAGAGCATGTTGACATACTTTTATTATTTTTGCTTCTAGGGACCTAATACCTATCATTGCTGCACTGGAATATAATCAGTGGTTCACAAAGCTGTCCTCTAAGGATCTGAAACTGGTAGGTAATTGAAGATGCAATGAATGTTGCTTGGCTGTGCAGAATTTAAAACAACCTGATAATTGTTTAAAAAATGTTTTTCTTCCATACTTTTGAGCTGCATACATTTTATTTCATGGGAAGATGTTTTCCTATAGGAGATTTGCATGACATTTTATAAAGTGTGTAATGTGAGAGGCTTCAGAGTACTTCTTCTTTTCAGCTGCTGTAGGCAGTTTTGGAAGATGAACGGAGTGACACATCTAGTGTAGCTTTCAGCACACACCCATTCAGTTGGCAAAAACTATTAATGTCGACTTAGCACAGCTGCGAACAGCAGATTTTACGCTCCTTTTGTACATTTCGTTCTCACAGTGTCTCCTTCCTAAGAATTTCAGGAAATATTAACAGGTAGAGTTGGGCTAGCAGATTTATGATCGATAAGGTTAATTTTGTAAATGTGTTTTTGAGGCAGATTTGTACATAAAATGAAAGCGAAGTGAAATCTGTTAGTTTTCATAAGCAATGGGACAACCAAGTATTTGGTGGAAATAAATATTCTATCGGGGATTTGGCAAGTTCTAAAGCAGCTATGTGGACAGATGTTTATTCAGAAGTTAGCTTTTTGATGTTCCTTTTAGGACAGGAGATAATTTAGGTATTGCTTTATTGGAGACTCTTACTTTGAAGCTTTAAGCATTCAAAGGCCTTCGAATTTGGAGTGGGTTAAGCTTTTCATAATGAGAGATAGGATTTGGACTGAGACCTGAAACTGGAGGAAGTGGAGGGTGCAGACTGGCTAGTGAGCAGGCTACTTGTGTTCTCAGAGTTTGTCTGGGGTATGGGTGGCTAACCACATTATAGGCGTGAAAAACTAGCCTGACCTCATTGAGTGCCTCTTAGAAGCCAGGGTAATACAGGAAAAAAAAATGGGCTTGGAATTAGAAACCCAAGTTTCAGATTTTAACTCTGATTACCATGAGGCTATGTGATCTTCAATAAATTCCCTGACCTAGGACCTCTGCTTCCTGCACATCCGATACTGTGAGATGGTTAGGGCTCCTGTCTTACTCATTTTTATCCTGTGTTGTAGTAGCTTCATCAAAGTAGCTACTTGATAAAAATTGGTTTAATAAATAGAGAAAGAATTCGTGGACGAGTGAACAGAGCAACGTAATTTGTAGGTTGTTGGGATGAGTAGATGGTATGTGTGGAAATTCTACCACCATCCCTGATGTGTTGCAGACATTTCATAACTCGTATCTGTTGTTACCCTCCTCATCACAGTCAGACCAGCAAGGAGGCCAAGACACAAACAAGGATGGAGTGGGAGGCTGGGAATTCCATCGGCCAGACAGTTGGCAGTGTTGGAGCAGAGCTGATCAGAGCTCAGGGTGGAGGAGCCTCCGGGATGAGGCAAGTAGCTAGGAAGGGAAAGGTGCATTGGAACCTGGACTGCTTACTGCTTGCTAGAACGGGACCCTTTGCAGGACTTACCCAACAGAGGTGTGGTGAGGAGAGGACAGATTGGTGAAGTGAGAAGTAGATTATCCCAGATTGTGGATCAAAGAAAATGGATCTCCCCCGTGTCAGTTTTCCTGGCACATTCAGACATTCACATGAGCTTGTGGTTTATGAAATGGAGTTCTATGAGAGTGGTGAGGAGGCTACAGATACCCTGCTTTGGGAAACTGTCCCCAATCCCATTAGTACGCAGAGGGCTCCAGAGAGTTGGTGGTGTTGGCGTTCTGTCATTATCCCCATTTCCCGTCTCCCTTCCTCTGCCTTCGTCTTTAGACAGAAAATGTGCACCTGGTCATTTTGTCACTGTGAAACAAAGCCCTGAAGTGGGTGTGTGCCTTCTTGGGTGACCTGGGATGGCAGGAAGCAGAGGGACAGGATTTGAGGGCTGCCCTTATTTAGCTGCCCTTCACTTAACTGAGATTTAACATTTGATATTTTAGAATACAAAGTGGTCTCTGTGGCGGTTACTCTACAAATCTTCAAATGAAAAGTGATTTATATTTTTCGCCTGAAGTCAGGGGAGGGATGCGCCTTTCTCTCCTGACGGTCCTGCTGGGGCAGTCTGGGGCACTTTCTAACCTTGAGTTTATCTGAAGGAAGGCACAACATATAAGAGCACATTATTTTGGGATTTTTAAAAACATCAACCTCGTGATTTAAATATATGGTTTCCTTCCAAGTTATATGAGCTCTCTGGACTGTTAAGAGCATTCTTAGCCCAGTAAAAGCCTCCTATGCAAAGTTACCACGAGAAAATTTTGACTTTCATGATTTATGCTGTTTTTTGAAGCGAATTGGCAGTCAGTCATTGTAGTGTGAATAGAAGATTTTAAAAAGAAAAACAAAGACGCAATGAGGATCATGTTTCTGTGCAACATTCTTTCGGGGGGTTGTTTTGTTTTGTTTTGTTTGCTCAGTGCTGAGGCCTCAACCACAGGCGCATACTAGGCAAGTGCTGTACTACTGAGTGACTTCTTCAGCTCTTCGGAGGCAGGATTCTGTGAGTTGCCAGGCTGCCCTCAAATTTCACTTCTGGCCTAACCTTATGAGTAGCTGGGATTACAAGTGTGTGCTGGGCTGGAATGCCTGGCTGTCCAGCAATCTTAATTCATCATTGTTTCATATGTTACTTTATATTAATTCCAATTTTTGTTGGATGCATTTAATTTCTTCCTTCCTTCCTTCCTTCCTTCCTTCCTTCCTTCCTTCCTTCCTCCCTCCCTCCCTCCCTCCTTCCTTCCCTTCCCCCTTCTCTTTCTTTCTTTCTTTCTCTCTCTTTCTCTCTTTCTCTCTTTCTCTCTTTCTCTCTTTCTCTCTTTCTTTCTTCTCTTTCTTCTCTTTCTTTCTTCTCTTTCTTCTCTTTCTTTCCTAGAGAGTGAACTTAGGGTCTTTGCACTGAACTATGTGCACAGTTCTTTTTTTATTTATTTTTAATTCTGAGACATGGTTTTGCTAAGTTGCTAACTTGCCCAGGTTGTGTTTAAGTTTGTAAACTTCCTACCTCAGCCTTCCAGATTGCTGGGATTACAGGCATGTGCCACTGTGCCCAGCTTGCATTTGATTCTTAAATTAAATGCAAGTTCTTAGCAAGGCACAGCATTCAGTTTTTTTTAAGTAAAAAATTTTAAATCATTGCTGATCATGCTGTAGACAGTTGGAAAGATCTGTTATCTCATTTTATTAGGGCTCTAGGTTTGTATATATAGCTCTTTAAAAGTCTCATCTCTGTATATTCTTGAATGTAGAAAATAATGCTCTGCATATAGTTGACACTTAATAAAAATTAGTTGGTTAAATGTAATCCTGAATGACTTGTTACACCTCTTCCCTACTGTCTTCTTAAAGAAAACTTGGACACACTTTACTTAATACACTTTCTTTAATAAATTTTTATTGCAATATTTATACCGAATATGTACACTAAATGTTCAAAGCGCTTCTTTGGTAAATTACTTTTCTGGATGCCAGAAAAGGTAATGACCCCATGGATTGCTTCTGAAAATTAGAATAATCCCTCCAAAAACATTATCTAAGTAATCACTTTTTACCATGACAACATAGAGTAAGATTGGTCCCCTTAGATGTAATTGTCAGACAAAGAATTACACCGATCAAGGGGTCATCATTGTGAAAATCACCACTGTCAGCATAATGCAAATTGCAGGCATCAGGTCAGTTGAAATTAACTTTTCTCTTTCCTCATCAGTCTATAGGGATACATTAAAAGCCCAGGAGTAGTTCGAAAGTGGCGTCATAGACTGAGCAGAATAAAACCGCACAGAAGAATTATGAGAACCAGAGATGTTCTGCACAATTTCCAGATACAGTGTTTAAAGGGCACTTGACTATAGAACCTATTCATTTCACTTCAGATTCTTTTCCCATTATGGTTAATCCAGCAGGGTATTTGTGATCTGCTATGTCAATGAACTGTCACACTTTCCTTTGATGTTTTAAGAAAAAAAATATTGCATGACACAAAATATACTTATGTCATAAATGATTTAAGTAGATCCTATGTTATAATGAGATCTTATAACACCATTTTGTAATATTTAAACAATATTAGGTCAAGAGCTACCTTAAATTAGTTTTATGATAAACAGAATATAAATCTAAAAACACTGACATATGCAACTCTTAAAGAAAATATCAGGTACAATTCTACTACCATGGCGTAATTCTTTAGTTTTCATAGTCCTCTCAAGATTTTTGTTATCTAGCCAGGTGTGGTGGTGCACACCTATAGTCCTAGCACTCAGGAGGCTGACGCAGGAGGATTGCTGTGAGTTTGAGGCCATCCTGGGCTAACACAGTGGGTTTAAGGCTAGTTTGAATTACATAGCGAGACCGTGTCTCCCAAAAAAACCCAGATTTTGTTACTAACGGAACTCATTTTAATTGTAATGTTGTTTCATTTTAATTAAGCATTTTCATTTAACATTATATTCTAACCATTTAAAATATTCCAGAGTTACTCAACTACATCATATTTTTTAAAATGTAGGCATGAACATAATAGACATTTAACTCTTTCCTATCATCCAGGTGTTTCCTTTGTTCTGTTTTAGCGAATACTACAAGGAGCATCATGGTACTAGTTTCCATTTATCAAGTGCTTATTTAGTCTCTCTGTAGAAGTATGTGACATCTTTATACCTTTCTTTCCTTATCTGTGTAAAGAAAATAATCATAAACCTTTATTAGAGGTTTCTCAGTGAAATACAGGTCTAGCTCAGTGCCTGGCCTGGGGTGAGACTCTAAAAGACACTTGTAGCACCACCGTCACCACCACCATTTCATCGTCAGCTCTCCATAGGGACAGCACCTTCCTTGCAGCAATCTTTGGTTTTCCCAAGATGAGTGAGATGGGCCTCTGTGTTCTCATAGCACTAATGAAATGGGCCTTTTGTTATTGTGTCATTGTTATGTACTTTCTTGGTCAGTCCATTTGGGCTTCTTATATCAAAATACTGTAGGTTGGGTAGCTTATAGACAGCAGTGGTTTCTCACCATTGAGGAGTCTGGGAAGCCTGTAATTAAGAGATTGGCAGGTTCTGTGCTGGTGGACTCACTTTCTTGTTTGTACATGGTGCCTTCAGGTAATGTCTCTATGTGGTTGAAGAACAAGGGGGCTTTCTGGGGCCTCTTTTTATCAGGGCAGTAATCGTATTCATGGGGACTGTACCTTTATGGTGCAATCACCTCCCAAAGATCCATCACGTTGCTTATTAGGCTTTCATCGTATGAATTTTGGGGAGTGGGGCACAAATGCTCAGACCATAGTGTTCGTGTCGTTTCTTTCCCCTGCTGGATGGTGCACTCTGAAAGCCAAGGAGCTTGTCCTCTGTGGGATTGCCCAGGGTCGTCTTCGAGACAAGGCAGAGTAGTAGATGCTTACTCAACAGGTATTGAATGAATGGTTGTATGGATGAATGTTTTATTTAACTAAAATTGCATTGCATACATTTATAACAATGAAGTGAGCCAGCTGTGGTGACGCATGCCTGTAATCGCCAGTATGCAGGAGGCTGAAGGGGAGGATTGTTGCAAGTTCCAGGCCAGCCTGGGCTACAAAGTGAGCTCAAGACCAATGTGAACTGCATAGCAAGACCCTGTCTCAAAAAAAAAAAAAAAAAAGACCAAAAAACCCAAACAAACAATGAAGTGAGTGTTTTATTTATTGTCCTTATGGGATGGTCAAAGAATGTTTTTTGTTACAGTCCACAGATGTCTGTGAACAGATCTTAAGAGTGGTGAGTAGGTCCAACCGACTGGAGGAGCTGGTGTTGGAAAATGCTGGACTTAGAACGTGAGTATTTTCTTGAATACATGACTGAACCATTAGTTCCAGTTAAATAAAACTAAGATAGTGATTTTTAAAAATAAAATATGCTAGCAATTGTAGCCCTTAGTAATCAGTTTTATATTCATGAGTGTTCCATGAAATGAGAACAAAGATACAGAGTAGCCTACTAGGAATTTTCATGAAAAGCAGAGTTGATCTAGTTTTTTTTTTTTTTTTTTTTTTTTGGTAAATTATGGAGGGGTTGGGTAGTACTATTAATAGCATTCAGCAATGTGTCTTTACAGAGGAAATTATATATTTCCTAGCTGCATTTGAATGAGGTTTTGGCAAATTGAATCATTTTCTGGCTATGGCTTTATTAATTCTCAAGTGAGGTACTCATACATGTTAACATAAAATATAATACATAGATTCATATCCTAAAGCAGGGCTCTGATTTTTTAGGTTTTACTCTGTATTATTCTTTAAATATTTTATTTGAACAGTTTTACATTGTGTATACTTCCTTATATTACTTTGTTTACTTACAGAGATTTTGCACAAAAGCTGGCCTTCGCTCTAGCGCATAATCCCAACTCAGGACTCCACACGATCAACCTTGCTGGCAATCCACTGGAAGACAGAGGTATCACAACATGCTGTTGATACCTGAGTCCTAAGAGGACTAGAGAGGTTTAACTTAGCCATGCGGAGGGTAATATTGAGCTGACTCAATTATGTTATACATGCTGTTGGTGCACTTTTGCTTCTAGTTCTTTCTGCCCTTTCACGAAAATACTCATACTAAAATTCTTATTATCTGATTTACTTTTTTGGGGACTGATACAGAACAACAAGGAGGATATTCACACTATGCATTCCACAGAAGGCAGAGTTGGTGGATTTCGGAAGGGGAACTGGAGATTGAATTTTCAGTAGTTGAACATTTATGGATGGTGTTAAAGTTAGAATCTTATATCTCTGGAGGGAACGTTTTGTCTTCATTTTCTGTTTCGAATGTTTTCCAGCTTTGTTGAATAGGGCCTTTCATCTTTCAGTGTTATATATTTGATGAAGATTAATTATTCAGTTGAGCAGAGGATACTGATATAGACAGTTTTGCTTTTTGTTATTGATACAATACATCGTTCTGTGTTGAAAAGATACCCATGTAATACTGATGCCAAATCCTCAGGGTGACTTCTGTCATCTACAGTAGTGACTCTGAGGATGGAATTAGGCGAGGAAATCAAGAGAAAAGCACCCTCAGAGAGAAGGGTGCTGCTGAAAATAAATGGTGCATAATACCAAGATAGGAGCTTCTCTGGATATAATAATTTCTTTAGGAGAAATAGCGTTCTTTCTATTAGTCAGATGCCTTGGAGTGGTGGATAGGACAAAGGGATCATCCAGATCACCATAGCATTAGGGGAGATGTTTTGGCTTTGTTTTTAAGATTGGGGGTGTGGGACAACTAGTTTATAAACTGGCAGGGCAAAGTTACCAGAGGGAGGTTATTGTTGGAGGTGAATCCAGAAGTGGATGAAGTCCAGCCAAGGAAGGGGTGCTCTGAAGTCATCAGAGAAATGCAAATTAGAACCACAGTGTGGTGCCATTGGCAGCTAGAAATCAGCTCTCTGGAGAATAAGCATTTCAGAGGATGAGAAGAAGCAGGAACACACACACTGCAGACTGACTAGGCTATTTCTTAAAATGTTAAATGCAAATTTACCCAAAGCCTCCGCAGTTCCCCTGCCAGGTATCGCCCAAGAGAAATGAGACATATGTGCACACAAAAAGCAGTGAATACCCACAGGCCAGAGAGTAGACTCAGCCCCATGTCCCTGCCCAGTAGGTAGACAAGGAACATGTGGCCTATCAGCACCGTGGACTCCTGCTCAGCAGTAAAAGGGACTGAGAGTCTGACACTTGCTGTGACACGGTTGAACCTCAAAAAACCTCAGAGGGTGTCTTGCTGTCTCCTGGCCACCTGCTCACGGATGATGTTGCAGTCAAGAGTCCCTGCAAGCTCGCTTTCCTCAGCCTCGACTGTGTACACGCCAACCCTCCAGTGTGGCTTCTGCTCATGTGACCCCAAGTCCTGATGCTCCTCAGAGTATCTCCACAGACCAAGGCCTCCTCATCTCTGACTCTTCTAGGCTCCTTGGCAGTGCTCGCCAGAGCTCTTGGGGAGCTTCCAGCATTGTTTTTTTCTTCCCTTCCTTCACTTACAGGGCCGAGCCTGTGCCACACACGTCCTTTACTGCTTCTTTTTGTTCATCTAATTATCTAAAGATGGTTGGTAGCTTTGCTACTCATGGGTGCAAATTCCTAAAGAAATGTAATCATGTGTGAAATATTTATTGAAATTTCAACCTGGAGAAGAAAAAAACTTAGTAATTCTTATCTCTGAGGTTTTCCATGCTGATAATAATCCTTGAAAACTGTAAAAGGAATGGGGAAGGCGCCTGTCGTTCATTTGTGTGGTGGATAAGAGACACCAGGCCAGTGAAGATTATTTACACGAAGCTCGGAGAAATGCAGGGCACGTGGGAGCTTAGCAAGGAGCAGCCCGGAGTTCTGAGGAATTTACACACACTACGTGGAATTTGATTTTGCACCTGAACTTTCCTCTCAGGGACTCATTTGGAAACTCGTAGAGATAAAGTTTGATTCCTGAGCTTGTGATATGAGTGTTGATACAGCAAATCCCTGTTCTCTGCAGCTTGTCCTCCTTGATGTATCTGTGTCTAAAAAACAGGCCTGCAGCCTTCTGATAGTGGTACAGGAGGTGAGAGTGTGATTTAGTGAATGGAGGTGCAGTGCTCACACACAGTGAAGTGAATGCTGGGCAGTGACTACACACACACACACACACACACACACACGCTGGTCTTCAGCTGCATTCAAAGCAGAATCCGTTCACCGGCTCACTCTTGGTCTTCCTGTAACCTTTGCTTTTGTAAGGCAATAGGCTAAGACTCAGTAGGAGGCCATGAAGCCTGTTTCATAGTTCATGCCTAGCATTTAAAGAAGAAAAAGAGATGAAAGAAGAAATACCAGTGTGCTTTATTTAGAGAAATTGTAGTTTTAGTTTGCCAATATGTACATACGCTTATTTTTTTCTGTATGAGTTTTCTTGCTTCTTGATGTCAGATCTATTGCTTTATGTTTGTCATAGTAGAAAAGGCTTAAAAACCCCTGCTGTTATCCACTGAGCGTGATTAACTAGTTCTGTGGTGGGGAGTCCTCTGGGCTAATTGTGTGTCTGAGCCAGGGTATTCTTGGTCAGCTTCACTGAGACTGACCCTTTGGAGCTGATGTTGATTCTTGGGTTGAAGTTAAGTATTTTCCGAGAACTTAGCGCACCGCTGTCCTCCTATCTCTGCTCATTCCTTGTGACTTTCCTTCTCTAGCTAGCATTATAGACTCTGTGTTTGGGTCTTCCTCGTTAACCTTGCCGGGTGTGCTAGTTTACATGACCTCAGGCTTGTCAGGAGTGTTTGTCCTTATTTCCTCCCCTCACTCCATTCCAAATTGCATTATCTTGTTTATTGATGCTTTAGGATTGTGCCAGTTAATCTGAATTGTCCACTTGACTAGATTAATCCTTTTATGGCTGGTGTTCCATTTTTGGAATGCCCGTAACAATGGAATATAAAAAAAATGTTTTTCTCTTCAGAGTTTTGTTCCTAGAATTTTTCTAGGTCACATACAGTATATGAATTTTATGCAAAAATTTTAAAAAGTTGTAACATTTGGCATAAATGGGTTAAGAGACTCCTGGAGGGGAGACAGGAACATAGGAGACTGCTCATCAGTGGATTCATCCATCAATGTTCACGGCTGAATGTACTAGTAGGAGGTGGGGCCTGGTTGGGGGCAGTGGAGCGTGGATTGTGCCTTTGGAGGATAAGTCTCTTACTGGTGTTCTTCCCCTTTGCTGTGCTTCCTGGCTGCCATGAAGCCAACAGCTTTTCTCTTAACACCCTTGAGCCGTGATGTTTCTACTTTGGAGGCAGCTAACCATGGATTGAAACCTCTGACACCAAGAGCCAAATAAACCATTCCCTCCTTTAAATTGTGGGTGTCGCATATTTTGTTCCCATGATAAAGCCCTATGCCAGACTTCTTCTCTTTTCAAGTGTGATCCTGAAGTACCTCAGTATAGAAACCCTTTCTGCCAGCCTTGTCATGGTCTGATGGAGTCCACATTTGTAATCCTAGGGAAAAGTTATTGGAATTCCAATAGGTAATTCCAATCTATCACTTCCAGTACAATCCACAGTGAAAATAAAGAGATAAATATATATCTCTATTTGTGGGGCACCAAGGGGGTCCTAAGTCCAGTCAGAACAACGTCTAACCAAAACAAAGGCCTTGACGCAGGGCTGAACCCGGGTTTTATTGAAGAGAGGAGTGGCTCGGGATGAGTGACTGAGGATGGTGGAAAGTAAGTGAATGCTTTGAGCTGGGCTAGGAAGGAGGTGAGATAGCACCTCTGCAATATGCAGAGAGAAAAATATGCAAAAGAGTAAACTGTGTATCACAGTTGGAGGAGGTGTCTTGTGTTTTGGGGTCTGTGCTTCAGCTTTGATGTCTACCCTTCAACCCCTGAGACGTCATACAGTCTTTCTCCAGCCTCAGTCTCATACTAGTTTGGTCTAGCTCACTCATACTAGTTTGGAGCTATAGGCAGGGGTCACTGATCTGTCACACTGCTGTAAAGGCTACACTTCAGCACCTGACTAGATCCATTTGCATTGCTTAAAGCCAGTTGAGAGGTAAAGTAATAGCCACCTCTGTACATATCAATACACAGAAGTAGGGCCAAATGCTCTTCTTCCAAGGAGAGCTGTCCAGGTGGTCCTCCATACCCCAGTGCCTTTTCCCAGATGATCTGTGGTGACTCCGATTTCATTTTCTAAATAAGACAGGGAAAAGGGTTCTGGGATTGCTGTTTACATTTTTGGTGTGTTTTGCTTTTCGTACCTTTCAGTGTATATCAGTGTTCTGAGGAGTCAAAAGTCCATGGATTTCTTTTTGGACTCCATTATATTTAGCTAAGTTGTCTTGGATAAGTAATTTAACTTGTCTGTGTCTCTTCATCCTCATCTTTAAAGTTGGTAATAATGTTAAACACTGACTAAAGATGTTCTAAGAATTAAATGAGGTTATATATACAAAAGGATAAGAATAGCCTGTTCCATGCCATGTGTTCAGTAAATGTTAGCTTTTACTACTTTATTTCACTCACAAAAATAGCCCTGCAAAGATAAGACCAAATATTGTCATTCCTCTTCAGATGAGGAAACATGGTATGTTTACATATTTTGGACAAAGCTTGCAGAGTGGTATCACTTGTTCATGTTCGTTTCTAGGATTTCCTGACCTGTCAGTCAGTTTCTAATGCTGTATGTGTCGATGTTATTTGGTTATCTACATTTCCGTTGGAAAGGGAATGGAACAATTTTATGCATGCTATTTAAAAAAAAAAAAAAACTACTGGCTTATTCCATAGTATATCACTACATTTTGGGATTTTAGAACATTCAAAAGTTAAGTGTTTGATATCATTTTTTCTAATATATTTTTATTTTTATATTCCTAATTCATAACTTTCACTTCAATTTTTAAAATGAAGAC